AAAGAAAAGTCTTTGGCATCTTCATGTGCACGTCAAGTTCCTTATTATCCTCTGAATGGCTCAGCTTTGTTTTTTCACTGTGATCTGGATGCAGTTTAATCTGAGACAGCATCACACTGCGATGGAAAATTGGGCTAATTATTAGTCATTCAGACTGACAGGCGCTCTTGCATAACCTTCTTTTATCTTTTCCTCAGAAAAAATTCAAATGGACGGTCGCCCCCAATATTAACAAGCATTTTCTATGTTAAATGTCTCATTAATCCAATGCAGATACTATAAATGATGTCTGAAAAATTGAATGCAGTTCTACCACTCGGTATGAAAACTGTGTATTCCTTTTCCTGCTTGTAAACTCTTGTTTCCAGGACATTTAGAATAATGCCACAGCATTAAGGAGGTTATGAGGCAGGTAGTGGCTTCCTCAGATCTGCAGATTATTTGGGGACCTCAAATTCTTATGAGCTGGAGAGACGGCTTTGACCAGCAGGGAATATTTTATCCTTGGAAAGGTTTTGACGTGGCTTAAGGACTACAAGGAGTATACATCCGTTTGAGATAAAATACTCAATACCACTGTGGGGGGCAGGTGGAGTTGCAGTAAAAGATGCACTGTGTTGTGCTCAGTGGGCAGAAGTAGACATTTCGGGAGACTCATTTCTTGACTGCTCTTGGCATCCAAGTGACTCCCGTTTTTTTGCTCTTCTTCCTCCCAGGCCCTTTTCTGACTCTAAAATCAGACATCTGAAAAAGTACATTAATTTCTTAACTACTTGTTTTTGAGCTTTCCTTTTGCACGCTTGCTTTTTTCGAATGGCGTGCAATCCATTCTAGTAATTAATTCGTTTTTCGGGCAAATAGGGAAGATGGGTCTTTTGGCGGAAATTGAGTCAACACTACTGCCTCCTAGTGTCCTTACTTAGACATTGCTCTTTAAAGAAAGCAGCAGTGTTTTGGGGTGCCAGACAGGGCAGGGGTGTTGTGACTTTGTTCCGCACGGTTAGTGCTTACAGCTGTTGTGCAGGTGTGCACTAGGCTTTGGATTTTAGCACATGTTCTACCAACAGCAAAGAGCAAAAGGCTGCTGAGAGACACTTATTAATTGCTCTCCGGGCTATCCGAAGCATGACCCATTTGCCGATAAGGGTGCGTTCATTTCAAATCAAACCTTTTTTTAAGGCAAAATTGTCACCATTTGAAGGGTGCAGGTGTAAATGTAGCAATTTTATGCAATACGTGGAAGAGCGAGTATATTTGGAAACATCTTTGCAATTGAAATGGAGATATTCAGTTTTTTTGTGCTTCAGAGCAAGAGCTGTTCCCTGTATTCTATGAATATATTACAAGAAGTTTGAAATATGTTTGCTATAAAAGCATGGGGAAAAAGCAGAAATAGCAAGAGAACTTTGATTTAAAAGCAGAGAGTGAAGCAGTGTAGAAGGAATTAGAAGGAATGTATTTGTTTTCCAGCTAATGCGTCTTCAGGTTTTTCTGTTTGCAGTTGACCAGGACCCGTTGTTCTCTTTGGTTTGCTGTTATTTAGCTGTAGTTCAGCAGTGCTCTGAGCCACCGCGCGGTGCGTCAGATCCAGGAGCTCCATGCTAGGACCTAGGCGCGCTTTCAAGAGCTGTCCTGTGTCTTTGAAATAATTCCAGGATGGGAATCCCTCCACTTTCCTGTTTGAAAACTGAGCTGGGTTAAACCTGTATGGAGATTTTTTTTTTCTAGGCTCTGAGCAGGGCGATGCTTCTGAAGCTGAATCGCGCAGTTTGGAAGCTCAGGACTTGTGCATCACTGAATGCAAAACTTGTTTCTTTCCGGCAATTCTATTCGTCAAAAACCTCGTCTAAAGTAGTTCACTCGTTCAAATAAGGTGTATACAGAAAAGCTAATAGGGGATAAGGGGTGTCTGTTGATGAATTTCCATAAAGTAACCATCGACATTTTTCAGCCAAGAAACACTACTGTATGAAAAAATATATCAATACACTACATATACATTCTGGATCTTCTGAATTAGTTTTTTAACAGTTGCAGTCAACACATCAAATTTGTTCCTGTGCCTTTTTTTTGTCCTTAATACACTACACACGCTCTTAATTTCTTGAATTGTAAATAGAGTGACAATAGAGTGAATAGAGTGCATTGTAAGCAATGGGCCTACTCTTATAGGGCACCTTTGATATTCCTGAATTTGAATACAAAGTGGTATTTATTTTTACCTTGTTTTATTTGTGCGTTTTATTGTTATAGCTGGAAAGGTGGGGCAGTTCTGATTTTTCAGACCTTTAGCAGATTTTGTCTGTGAAATCCGAAGTCTGTTAAAGCAAAGTCCGTTAAACTGAGGGTTGACAGTTTAAGCTAAACGTTTATGTTCATTCCTCCAGTACCAATAAGGGCATGCTTGGATTCGAGTGCTGCACTAAATTTAAAATGAAGAAATACCCTTGTGGATGGATTACCTGCTGATCAGGGAACATGTTGCAGAATTATCTGTCCACTCCACAGTGACCTCCTCAGGTCAACACCCGAAGAAGGCTCCACAGCTGAAACGTTGCGTTTTCTCTCTTCTCTTTTCCACATGGAATAAACCTATGACTTGTTCCTATATTAAATACTGCTATGAATGCATATTTTTATTTTAGAACACATTCGTGAAACAAATTGCAAAACATTTCAGAAAAAATGTAATCAAAAGGAAACAAGAAAATAGTTACTTTTCATATTACTTAAGGGTATAAACTTAACAAAACAGGAAAACAAGCATACAATTCATAATTAAACAATACAGAGAAATATAACTAGTGCAGTTTAATGAACTATTACAAAAAAAATTGGCTGAGGAGTGTAGAGTGGAAGGTGTTGTTTAGCTGATTAAAAATCTTTGACGAACAATTTCACAGCCAAAAACACCATTTCAATTGCATTGCCTTGCAAAAATGATGCTGTTCATCCTCTCCACTGGAAAGCTCTACAAACTCATTGAAGTAACATCACCCTGCAGACATTATTTGTACTGCGGCCTGTGAGGAAGCACTGTCAGGTGATGCACGACATGCACCTCGAGCTTTCACAGACGTGAAGCTCGTCGATCACATGAAGTCGTAGCTCTGTGCAGGCTTGGGGCTCCCTCTTGTACGCCATCTTCCTCTCGGAGGCAGGCAGTTCAGATCCCACCGCGTGATTTCCCAGTCTGTCAAGCGGCAACCCCCAGCCCCCAGCCCCCACCCCCCTGGCCTCTTCTGGGCTCCATTAACTTCCAATACGATTGTGGTATTACAAAGCAAAGTTCCAGTAATGGATCAGGATGACATTTTCTTTCTCTTTAATTTTTGTCGTTTTTTTTTCATGCGGGAGGGGATGGTACTATTTTTGTGTTCAAAAAAGGGGATGGCTTCATAATAATCCCCTTCCAGCAGCCAGGCAATTTCGGCTTGCAATCTGAGAGCTACTGTTCATAGACTGTGGGTTTCCTAATGAGTCCAGCATGTCTGACGAAGCATCTGTGGCAAAGAAAAGTCCGATTTTGCAACCAAGAGCTTCATGTTGATATAATGTAGCCTTGTTTTGTCCAAGGTGATTTGAAACCATTTGCACAGCTGTTGTAAGGGCCTTGAGGTTAGATAAAATACTTCAGTATTCTGACCAGGGTTTGATACATTCAGGTAACCGATCTCTAAGGCACAGAAAAGACTCTTAGTGTATAAGGGAACACAACCATTTGCAAGAATCAGGAGTTTTTGTCATGTGTTAATGACTTTGGAGTGGGCTGTTAAATTAGCTGATGTACTACTTATTGCTGTTTGCTATTTTTTACCCCGATCTTGTTCATAATAGGTGTCAGAAGATGACATAATGACAGTTACATATGTGTGTTGATGGAATTATCACCAGTGTCAACAGAGCAAAAAATTGATGA